TAAGCCGTGAGCTTGGGAAGCCGCAGCCGGGGACCCCTCAGTCCGTGGGCTCCGCTCGGGGACCCCCGCTGCCCAGGGTGCCATTGCTTCACTGGTGCTGCCCACGGCGCACGGCCCCACGCTGAGACCTGCGCAGACACCAACCTTCTGCTTTGTCTGTAATACACGAGAGGGAGCTCTTGGTCGCAACAACTTTCTGTCGCTCGTCTCAATTTTTGTTGAAAGTATATTCTGTGCCAAAACTTTTCTTACTTTCAAATTGGCTCTTTCAATTCAGTGATAAATGCATATTGGAAAGCTCAAAAAAAAAGAAGTTACAATCTCGGCCATACGTAACATCGGCACAGTGCTAAGGAATGGGTTACAACACCCAAGGCTTACACATCGGTCAGGCTTCCAGTTCAGCAGCAGCAGCCACACGTCGCTTTAGGTAGCAGGACTCCCTATATATAACATGCAGGGATCTCCAGCAGTGAGGCTGACCAGCACCCACATCCTGAGCGGGGAGCTGCAAAAGCTGTTCCAGGGGAAATGAATAAATGTTGCCCCATGGGAGATGTCCGTGTGTTCTGACGTCCGTGGCAAACATGGCTTGCTCTCGGCAATAGGCAGGAATTCATCTCTGATTAACATTCACAGCTCCCAGTCCTCTCCGGGGACAGATGCCTGCACCAGCCCTGTTGCACAGCTTGTAGCGCCGGGCTGAGGCAGTAGGGACCATCCCTGTTAATTCAATTTCTTTAGGACTTGGAGGGCTCAGGATGTGCAAAAGGCCGGTTCCCGCCTGTTCTCTGGCTGAAGATGGACTTCAGTGGACTGTGTGAAGGGGCGAGACCTGGGGAAGGGCTGAAAAATCTCAGAAAGAGACAGACAATGAAAGGCTGGCTGCACTGAAGTAGATATGAATCCCAAACGATGCCCTGGCCAGATTTTAAGTGAAGAATCTGAAGAATCCAGGCATCCTTCCCACAGCACTCCTCCCAGTGGCTCACCTTTTGTTTTGTTTTGTTTTGTTTTTTCTCCCAGTCATGACTGAACTTTGATAATGCTGTTACACTTAGCTAATGAAAGAAAGACTTGTTCTTTCATATGTGCACTTTCATCCACTCAGATTTAAGGTACTTAAAACACACTATATAACACTTAATAAAAATAGTCCACTCTACAACCCTATGTAGTTGGTCTAATAAAATATATCATTCTCTCTACAGAAACTGTTTCCATTAAAGCATTTAAAGCAATATTGTGGCTTCATAAGTAATGGACAGGTTTTAAAAGACCAAGAACACCTTTCTGCAAAAATAATTCTATATATTTTTGTTTTCTGTTATATGCCTAAATGGTCCTTCCCCATTCATAGTAAACCCTATGCTGAGCTATTCATGCTCAGGCTGTATTTATGCACTGAAAAATGAATATGTTCGTCTGTCACCTTCTGTCGTGCTGTAATTATTGCTTATAAGCAGCCATCAACTGAACAAATAAAGCCTTTAGCGTGACGGGTTCTCTAAGAAATATGCTACTCTTAATATGTCCCAAGGGATGCAATACAGAATTTCATATAAGTGAATAACGATACCCATCTGGTACACTATCTGGCTACCCAAGTGTAGTCTGTTGATTCAAAAACCATCTGTCTTAATCTTGGGTAAAAGAACACAAGATAATGAGTATTTAAAAGGTACCAGATAAGCATTATTATCTTAAGTGTCATCAGTATTCTAAGCCAAAGGGAGTTTCCACATTTCATCTTAGACATAGCCACCACAGCAACAGCATTGTTAATATCGCGGAAAGCAAAATAATCACATATGCTGTGAATCAGCTGGCGTTTTGTTTTGTGGCTTTTCTCATTTGTTCTATATGCTTTGGTTTTTTAAGATAATTGACATATTGGTACATTCAGGTATTCTTTTAGAAAATAGAAACATCTGGAAAACCAATATGTTAGCAAGGTGTTTAAAAATAGGAGTCCAAGCCTGGATGTGGCAATTTGTAACAGATGAAGTCTAGGCAAAGATCATCCATTAAATAAATCCAGGGAAAAAAACATGTAACAATGTCACATGTAGATAGCAGAGAAGAGGGAATCAAATGTCTTGCTTGAGGTGGAATAAGAATGGGGAAAACAAGATTACGGGGAAAAGCAAGCATCTTAGGTGGGATTGAAAATAAGAACAACAAAGCTGCTACCTAGGAGTTCATAGCTGTTGTAAAATTGCCTTGCCATTCTGCAGAACAGGATACAGGCATGGGAATGTGCATTTTCAGACTTACAGTTAGACAAAGAAATATGGGACTTCCTTATAGACCTCATTCTTCTCTTTTTAGCTGCAAAAGAATTCAAGAGTCTGTAAAGTGCATATTGCAGCGGAAGTCACACTTACGCAATTTTTATATGATTCACCAAAGCATTCAACAAAAATAGCTGGCAGGTGAAGACTGGCTAGAAATGCTCAGAACTTGGGTGACAGGTGATGACAGTTTCTAACTGATAGACAGGAAGGGCTGTCTACCATCGTCACTAAGAAAATGAGAGAGGGACACTCTTTGAACAGTTACATAAAACGCTTCACAAACTTTACACTGATATGAGTGTGTCCAAAAAGTCTTGGTTCTAAAAAGTGCTGCAGTTTGCTGACTTGTGCAAAGACATTACAGTCACCGTCTTCTGGAATTGGTAACAAGAGGAGAAGTGGAAAAGGAGCAGGAAAACACAAAAAATTATTTGGCCTCATGCATGTCCACAAAAAGGTGAGTAACGTGCTGACTATTTTAAAGCACAGAGTAACCTTGGATTTCACCTAATGAAATCATGGCTGTGACAGAAAATAAGCAGTTGAAACATGTGTTCCTTTTTCAGAAAGAAAAATTAATGTGCACACCATTTCTTTTACCCATTTATATAGAAAAAGCAAAGGATTAATTAATTAATAGAAAAGAGGCACAAGAATACAGTGTGCCTCTCTGATTTTTTCTGTAACTAGTCTGCATAAAGAAATACAGACATAGAAACCTAAGAATGATCTTATCTGCATCTAAATCCAAAGCCTAATTTGATGGAAATCTCAGAGAATATGCTAGTACAAGACTGATAATGAAGATCCTCTGCCCAGAACACAGTCTTTCAGAAAATGGTTCTCTTTACTACAAATTGGCTCAGACTAGAAGCCTTTAAAAAAGAGCCTTACCACAGACGCACAGAGCTTTCTCAGTGCAGATTGCTCAAGACTTTGGGCTGGGAGCCTGGAGTCAAAACTGAACAAAAGCCTGTCTGCCTAAGAAGAATTTATTTCCAGCAACCTCTGTTCCACAATGGCAACGCTCTGCCAGCCACATGAGGCACAGCAGGAGGAAGAAGAGAATCCAAGAGGGAACTTGGCTTTGTACCTATTGCAGCCTTAGTCATCCCTTTTGAACAGAATTCAGCTGTCAGCCATGTGGAAGACAAACACCTGCAAGGAAGTACAGAAACAGCTGGTATTAGAGGTGATATTGCAATGAGCGTCTGCTTCACTCTTTACAAAGTCCTGGTGTTCTGCTAGATGAAAACAGTAATGCAAGTCCTGTCATAAAAACTAATGCATTGGGATGAATGAGGACATCCAATAGGCAACTGGGGGAAAATTTTCTTTGAAAGAACGAACGAACAACGATGCCCTGTTTCTATGGATTGATCATTGTTGCAGTTCTTTACTGTATCTTGGGCACAGGGAGGTAACATTGATGGACAATAAAACCTGCTCACTATCTTCTGCTTAAGGCTTTTATTCCAGACTCATACTTTCTGTTTCAACATCTTGTAATTTCTCTGGTAGTCATCTCATCTGGCCCTTGAAAAAATATTTTCAAAGTATTTGCTTTGATAATCCACCTAAACTTGAATTGTTTATTGTTTGTCTTT